CTTCTTGTCTTTCTTCTACTTCTTCTTGTCTTTCTTCTACTTCTTCTTCTTCTTCTTCTTGTATTAGTGTAACATCAGCTCCTCCTGCTGGTTCCTCGTCTCCAGAGACAGAAATGTTTCCTGACGGTTGTGTGTGAATGAGGTTGAAGACATAATCTAGACATAATCTAAACTTTTTTGGTACCTGTTGACGGTACCTGTTTGGTACCTGTTGACGGTAACGTTTCTCTCTGGTTCTGGTCCAGTTGGCCGGTATGAAGAGCTGGATCGACCTGAGGAACGAGATCTTGTTCCTGACCCAGAACGCCACGTCGTCCCCCAGCACCATGTACCAGGCGGTCTCCAGGATCGTGTGTGGTCATCCTGAGGGAGGAGGTCTGCAGATCAAGTCTCTCAACTGGTACGAGGACAGCAACTACAAGGCTCTGTTTGGGAACCAGAACAGCAGCGAGGACGAGACCACGTCTCTGTACGACAACTCGTCCAGTGAGTCCTCCGGGTTATGTTTTTTATATATATATATATATATATATATATATATATATATATACAGTATATGTACATACATATATTTATATATACTGTGTGTTTTCCAGCTCCGTTTTGTAACAGTCTGGTGAAGAACATGGATTCTAACCCGATGTCCCGGATGATCTGGACGGCCCTGAAGCCTCTTCTGATGGGGAAGATCCTCTACACCCCCCACACCCCTGCCACCCAGAGGGTCATCCACGAGGTATGACAACACTTCCTGTCTCCTCACCTCCTGCAGGTGGAGCGGTGTCTTTAACTGTCTGCGCTGTGTTCAGGTAAACCGGACCTTCCAGGAGCTCGGTGTGTTCAGGGACCTGGGCGGAATGTGGGAGGAGATGAGACCCAAAGTCTGGAACTTCATGGAGAACGGAGAGCAGATGGACGTGATCAGGGTAAACAGGCTCCGCCCCCACCTCACCTGTTATTCTTTTATTTATTTATTCTCTATTCTTCTTTATTATATATATACTGTATATATAATATGATATATTAAAGTCTGATCTGTCGTTCAGACTCTGCTGAAGAACAACTCCACCTCCAGATTCCTCCGAGCTCAGCTGACCCACACCGACTGGACCGTGGACGACGTCTCCAACTTCCTGTCCAAGCAGGAAGCCGAGACGCCCGGCGGCGCCCTTACCTGGAGAGAAGTGTTCAACGAGACCGACCAGGCCATCATGAGTATCTCCCGCTTTATGGAGGTCAGTGGTGACGGCTTCAGACTACCTGCAGCTAAACACATGGTCAGGTTTGGGTTTGTTTTGGACTGGTGAAGACACACACCTCACAGCTCCCTGACATTGTGGGGACTGTGGTACTTTTCTACATTGTGCGTACTTCCCTGAATGGTGCGTACTTTACCACGCTGTGCGTACTTTACCACGCTGTGCGTACTTCACCACGCTGTGCGTACTTCACCACACTGTGCGTACTTCACCACGTTGTGCGTACTTCACCAAGTTGTGCGTACTTCACCACGCTGTGCGTACTTCACCACGCTGTGCGTAC